ACTCTGATGCCAATAAAAGACATCTATTTCCACCTACATGGAAAATGTCACATACATTCCTTAAATTTTCTACACCAATACTGGAATGTGTCGGTTGTTTATACAACATGGATGAAGATGATGAAAAATGGTTAAATGAATATAATTCAAAATCTGGTAACAATTTAAGTGAAGATGATTTCGAAGAGATAATGGAATTTCTTGAAAATCAAGCAAAAAACAAACCACATTTGTTGGTAAGCAGATTTAATTTAAATTCATGTTTGATTAAAAGTTCAGATTTTCATATTAATTTAGCATAATACTTTATCCTTATTTCCGGTTTACGTTTAGGCAAAAAGACAGCTCCCATCATGGGAAGAATGCCAGTCATGGCTTCCAGATAAACTTCTAATACTATCAAATGATTGTAAAAATGTATATTCATATTGGAAGTCTAAACGAAATCAACGATTTCTACGCTACAAGACAGTAGCTCCACTAATGTTTGAGCTAAAGGTTATTGAACATGTATAGACATTAATGATAATATTAAATAATTCAAAATTGTAAAGTCTAATATATATATATTTTTTTTTCATTTTCACTATAGACTGCTGAGACAAAAGATGAGGAAGATAACCCATATGTTTGTTTCCGCCGTCGCGAACTTAAACCAATTAGGAAGACTCGTCGTACTGAGACACAATCTTTCGATAAATTAAGAAGAATAAGGCGTGACGTACACAATGGTCGAGAAATAATAGTTAAAGTAAAAGCTCGTGAAATATTCAAGAAGCAGAGGATTGAATTAAATCAAAAAATATTTATAAAAGAATGTGATATAAAGGAGATGCGGAAAGAATTGGGAATACAAAACAATTCTATTTCGGATTCACAGCAAAGGGTATTTATTTTATCTTTATCATTAAGGAAATCTTTTTGTACAATTTATATAAATTTTACTTGTCCTATAGAACAAGAACCGAAGAATATCTACCTCATCTATAGATACTATTGGGTATGCCATGTTATGTTATATATTATGACTTATATATATTTATTTATCTGTTTATTCATTTTTCTCAATTTATTAAAAATTTTTCATCATATAATTCTCATAATTCGACACTACATTAGATCACTGAGAACAAAACCTGGCACTAAATCCTCGAAAAAAGACAAAGAAAGTTGTGGAATTAACTTAGATGTAACACATGTACGTGCCAATGTTTTTATACTAACATTCAAAATTAGTTTCGTTTTTTGGTCATTAATGATTAGTGCATTAAATCGTTAATTAGAATCCATATTGTCCTATGGAGAAACCGCGAGGAGCAACTTTCTACAGGAAATTTGACGCTGATAAATTAATGTTACCTCCAGCATTTAGAAGTCGTTATGGTCGTGGAGGTCGTAAACGTCGTACGATCGATCGCCTTGATGTGTTCACAATTTACCGCATGAAAAGGCCAAAGAATAATAAATTTAAATACGATTCGGACGAAATGGATGATGTTTACAGCGATGATGATATGGACTGTGATGAAATCGATGATAGTTCAAACATGACTGAATGGTAGGTCTAACTATATGCATCATATATCATATGACTTTATGAATAGCGATTCATGAATCAACACTATTCTATTTATTTACATTGGGTTTATTAGCACAATTAGATTTCATTTTTTAAAAGATGAAGATTTTCAAAATCTCGGTGCGTTCCGTACTAAAATTCAAAAAGATAAACAGAATTCTCCGAGACAGTGCTCACGTGATGATGGTCAAGTCAGTATTAATAATCTGTCAACTCAGAACCATTCACAGAATAGCGCTCAGGCGAATGTAGATCCTCGAGTTTCTCTTTCAGGTTCACAATCTAGACCGAGTTCAGATGTTCGATCAAATTCTGAACCGCGAGCTGAAGGCTCGTCTTCAAGAGGAAATCCTGATTCACGAATTACAATTGATATGGATTCATCACGTCCCAATATATTACCTAGGACTGTCGTGGATCAGCGATCAGTCAGACCTAATTATGATCCTAATCTCACTTCAAGAACAGGTTAATATCATTGTGTACGCATGCAATTGGTAAATTTTTTAGGGTGTTTAAAAAATCGATAATTATCACCTTATCTTTAAAAATGATAATTATCACTTCTAATATAAATAACCATCGATGAGTTGGTTAATTATAACTCATATAAGTCAATGGCCATCGATGTGTTAAGTATCGATGATAATGATTAATAAAAATCGTTTATTGATAGGGTTATGTTACATCGATAATAATCACCCTAAAAAATTTCCTTACAAAGTAATAATAAACATTGTCGAATGTCACTAACACCTTTATAAATTAACGATAGCAAATAATCTACGTACCTATATTGACCCACGTACTTTCTCCGACCCTCAAAATTCAGCACAAATTCCGATCCGGGACCAACGTGTGAACTCGGCTATTCCCGTGTCAATATCTAATCGTGATCAGCATCTTTCTACGGATATTAATGTAAGCCGGGATCAACTTTTAAATACTGGTTCTCTTACTGGACACGAC